AGTGTTCCTAGTGCATCCAGCACTTTGTTTATAACCTCAACTTGTGGCTCAATACAATCATGCTCCTCGTAAACAGTTTTATGAGGTTAAGTTATGTCGCTATCATGTTGTGAAGTTTATTGATTTAAATTTATTTAAAAGGATTTGCGTTAGTCCAACAAACAACTAAGACATCTAAAACTTTATCGTGAGGGACCTGGCACATAATATATTTCAAGTTTCAAGTTTTTTATAGTTATGAAATACAGTAAATGAGGTAGTTATCATATTACCTAGTAAACATTTCTATTGGTACTTACTACGTTGTCATACTCGTTGATAATAGTAACTGATTAAGGTGATAGCTGCTTTCAGTCGACGTCATCTCAAACTCTCGACATGTAGAGTGAGATTTGCAACGCAACATGCAAATAACATGCAATTTAGCTTTACCAATACTCCAACTAGAGAGAGAGAGAGATATTAAATATTAAGGTACTGTATTTGGACTTAATGCAATAAACTACATGTTGTCAATTTCTCAAAGTAAGATTTCATTTCATATTAAGAAACTGTTCAGGACCACCTTATTGAAAAGAAATAATCTTCTTCTTCTTCATCGAGTGGGACACCAAGTCATCCAACAACCCGATGAACCCTGGTGTCAGAGTTTTTTAACCGGCTACTACAAGTAGCAGGCCTCTGACATGACTGTGTAAAAGATTTATATTTAAGGTCAATGCTATTTTTTTACATAATTCACTTTTCACTTTGTTTTATTGCTAAATGTTTTGTCTCTACTGACGGAAAATGGAACTGAATTTTGTAACGAGACTAAAAAATATACTTCATTTTCATGTATAAACCAGTTTCTTTTCAAGTCGAGACGTCGGTCGGTAATTTTTAAACCTAAACCCAGCTCAGCACCACCATACATTACCTGTAAATTGACTTCACCTCCCCCAATCAAATCCCTCGAACGAATTCCAGAGAAAATGAGATTTCTCCACGGCAGCATTTTAACATGATAAAGCTGTCGCAAATGTTTTTCCAATATTTTCTGAAACGAGCTCCGTGGCTTGCCTCGGATTATTTGAAGACCTACTTGTAAAGAAATCGCACCGAACTTCTTGCATGGCGAAGTTGTTAGGCGAAAAACACGCGTAACATCCGTTTGTTCGTTTTGTCTCTAGTATGTACAAGCTAGGTAGGGTTAGGGTGTTACTTTCCTTGAACAGTTCCTCTGCAAAGATCCCAAGGCAATCCGCACAATATACGAACCGCCCTTTTTTCAGTTTTAATGCTCTTTCACTGTCAGCCGAGTTACCCCACAAGTCCATTCTATATGATAAAAGAGAGTGTAAGTAGCCATAGTATACTTTGAAAAGGTTTTTGTCACTTAGTCTTTATTTTGCGCTGAGTAATGCATAGAATGCTAAACTTATTCCGATACAACTACATCTTATGTCAAAGTTTTTGTATAAAAATAAGGTAGAAAATTGCATTTTCCTAACGCATGCGATAGCGTTGCTCAAAAAACAAGCAGAGACGGGCATTACGTGTGTTTCTCGCCTAAAGTAAAAGATCCTCTTGAAACTATAATAACAAGAGCTTGAAAGTTTTTACACAAAAACTTCGCCAACTATCTTTTTGCACTTCTACACATAGTAAAGTGTAGTCACCTTTTGCGTTTCGCTGTCTGTTTGTTGTGGAATCCGCAAACTCCTCCAAAACCACACAACTAATTTTGATGCTATTTTCGTAATAGATAGAGTGATTAAAAAGGAAAGTTTAAGTGTAACACATTCCAAAAACAACTTTTTTCCCCGTGTGTGAAGGGGGAAAATGAGTTGCACTAGATGAAACCGCTAACGGGCCACTAGTGAAGGTTTACTCCGTCTATAGGTACAGTCGAACTCAACTCCTGTTAATATGTTGTAAACTCTTATTGTATGTGCAAAAGAACGATAAAGATACTTCTTAGTTGTGCTGAGCTTGACTGTAGTTATAATAACTGGATAGCACTTAGGTGCTCACTAGCGCTACTTACAAGAGTTGTAAAACTTTGAGACTGTGCTTAATAGAATTATTTATTTTATAGCAGAAATACAAGCACTCCTTAAGGAGCTTAAGTTCTAGACAGTCATTTTAGGAAAACAGTTTTGTTTTATGAGAATTAAAGTTCGTAAAGTTTGTTCTTTTAAGCAAGTTGTAATAAGCTAGAGGCCAGCCCAGCGACGACACTCAACTTTAACCGTAGGAATAAGATATCTTTCGGCGGTAAAAAGTTACCTCTGATACTCATGCATGTTAAAGCTGGGGAGAGAATGTTTGTTATAAATCTGGATATACCGTTTAACGATTTTAACAAGAAAAGAAAATGACTTTTTTGAAGATTTGTTTTACAATGTTTTCAGTTTACAATTTGGATCAACAATATCCCGCATTTGTGACGTAAACATAGGTACCTACACCTATACAATATGCGGGCAGTGAAGTAAACAAGGCGAAATTGCTCGGCTGTCACATCGAACGGCGCAAAAACAAACAATATTGGGTGTCACATTGCAGTGACATGTTTAAAGCCAACGTTACAACCACAAAGTAAGTATTGGCGGGCGCCAATCCAGAGAGCCGGGAGCCAGCTTCAAAGAAACGTCGCTAGACTCACTCAGCCATCTACACGCCGTCGTTTACCCGAAATCTCAAATCGGTTCAAACCGGCTAGTAGCGAATGTCAATAGCATTCAGTGTGGGAGGACGACAAAAGTACGACTCGCAAGTGCCAATATTTTTGCATAGTATGTTATAGTTTACGTGTTATAGTGTAAGTAATGTAGGTACATAAGTTTGTTTTGCCCAGGCACGGCATATTAAAACTTCAGAAAAAGAAAGTAGCGACCCTATAGTGTAGGTATAAATGATCGGAAGAAGAGGCGAACTGCCTTTCTGTATAGTCCCTATTTTGTGTTACAACGTTACACGGTACGCGGTTGTTACAACGTATGGGTTCACGCCTTTATTACTTCAAAGCGCATGTTTCTGCCGGGAAATGTGCCGAATTAGGGATAAACTCAAATTTGTAACTTATTATTATTATTTGTATGTTTATGTACGTTACACTCTCTGCCGTGCGGTGACGGCTTAGAATAATATCACCCTATTTCTACTCGTGGGTTTCGGATAAACATCTAGGTAATGGGCAGCAGCGTTTCTTGTGAATATCTTCAACACCTTGCACTGTGATCGCCAATCCTCTGCCAAGCGTGATAAGTATGGCTATAGTGGCTATACCCCCCAATTGGGGGAGGCCCATGAGTGGACTGCTGTAGCTGTTATAGAGGTGGTATGTTACTCGTCCCATTCACATGTATATTAAGTACATCAATTTAATTAGAGTTCACGGGTGTTCATACCGATTTTTCCATATTACCGATAAACATAGTGTGTTTTTTTATTAATAGTAAGTATCTTATATGAGGTCTAACTATTTCTAAAAATAGTGACGAACATTATTTCAATTTACTTAAATCAAGACACAAAGGGTATCGCCTAAAGTTTTATTTCATGACGTCATTTAATCAGATTTACGAGTCTACATTTACGGTTTCCGATAACATATATCTGACAGTAAAAGTTTTATACTCCAGCCACCTGCGGTGTTTGTAAGACGAGAAGGTTTAAATTTTTATTGCTGTTTCGGAACTGCTTTGATCTTGAGTGTTTTAGGAAAGAAACCGTCAGCACAAATTAGGAAAACGGCGCGAAGGGAGCCTTTGCAAGGTGGCTTACTCAGTACTAGCGACGATTTTGTGTCTCGACACACTACGACCGAAATTACACGACTGATTTCGGCGCAATTACGCCAGCAATGTTATTTGCATTACGGATGAAATTACGTCGCCGAATTTCGGTCCGAAGTTATTCGACGTGGTTTGTACGTAATTTCGGCGCTTATAGTGTGTCATCCCAACGAAAAACGAAAACTGACGGAAGGAAATTCAGCTGCAAAATTTTAGTCGCGAAATTTCTGTCGTAGTGTGACTACACACTTAGTGGAACTCAAGGTAACTAAGAAGATGGTTACCACGAACGTCATATTTCTTGAATTAAAAATTGGCTCAGAATTGTATGACTTTCTTGTATTAGATTTTGCTGTTTGTGCTGTTCTGTGCTGAGATTTTTGACAGTAGCAACCCCGGCTATGTAACAAGTGACAAACGTGAAAATCAAACATACACACATAGGATCGAGTATGGTCGAGTGACCCTTTTATGTACTGTCTGTTTTGTAGAAAGCAGAAAACCTCTGCTCAAATTTTCATATAATTTTTCACATAAATTACAAATTATGCGATTGAATAAGCTTTATCCTTTTATTATGTTAAACAACGGTTTGAAAACTTTGCCATATTTAAAATTGATAAAAAAAGACGCGATAAACCATAATCATACACCATAAGATATCTATCAAGTAATTGGCGTCTGATCTAGAAGATCCACCGTAGTTATAGTCAGAAGACCGTTTCTCTACGCCGCAGTAGCTTCGTAGTACAGCGACTACGATGTGGTGTGGCATTTCTGCCGTGTTACGCGGAACTCGTGTAACTCTAATTACACGGATTACGCTTAACATGTCTTAATCGTATTTTTGCTATCTACTTTATAAGGGGCATTCGAAAAAAAAATATATTCTATGATTTTTTTACAATAAAATTAGAAATACACGAATTTAACAAGTCTAAACGTTGTAGGTTTCTGTTACGCGCCGCGCGTGTAACTCACTTACATGATTTAACTACAGTAAAATGCTACCAGGCGCGGCGCATCGCGAAACACACGTTGAATATACTTAGCATATCTCGCGGAAAGCGTGTAACTCGGAGATACACGGCCTCGCAAAATACGATTTGTATGAGATTTTCATTGTTTCAAATTTCAAACAGCTCTAACTGGGATTGTAATGCACTCACAGTGCTATATTATTCTCACAAGTGAAAATAAGAAATAGATAAAATGACATGCATCGACCGGGGATCGAACCCGGGCCGCATGGGTAAACGCCCCACCGCTCTGCCACTGAGCTATCGTAGTAAGTTCTAAATACTTTCTACAGATGTCGCTGGATCGTCGCTTGGAGACGAGCATCAAGAGATAGATAATTTGGCGTTCATCGGCCGTGTATCGATAGCTCAGTGGCAGAGCGGTGGGGCGTTTACCCATGCGGCCCGGGTTCGATCCCCGGTCGATGCATGTCATTTTATCTATTTCTTATTTTCACTTGTGAGCTCTAACTGATTCCGAAACAAATATTATAAAAATATATTTGTATGTCCTTCAAACTAATGATTATAATAAAAGATTTGTTAAAAAATTATAATGATTTTCATGTACGTACAGCATTTAGAAAGGAAAAACATATTTTCGCTTCAAATGCGTTTTTCTCGAGTAGAGCAGTTTTAAGATACACGAGTTACGCGTCACACGGCAGATTTGTAGCTGTGATAAAATGACACGTGTAAGTTAAGCACGTAAAGTTAGGGTAGGTTTAGCTACTATTAAAAGAAAAAAAAATACTGGTGATATTTATCATACTGCATAGATTCTATCAGCAGCACGTGAACCTACATATTTAAGGGATCAAAAATACTGGTTATTCTTAGAAACCGTATGAAAAACCATTATAAGACAATCCTTTAAATGGGCAGGTTGATGTGCTGCTAATAATTACAGCTTCCTCGAGGGAAAAACTGTCAAACAAAGTAAACTCCTCATTAATTAATTACCCATTTTGTTCTTTTGTAATGTCATGTGTTCGCAACGGCACTGCTATCGATCTAAACACATAATTCAGTGAAGTGGTCACACGCCAAGCTGAGTGAGCCGTTTATCACGCAAACCAAAGCACGATATGGCTAAACGACAGTTTAATACTCTAAAATTTTGTGAAATGAATTTAGGAGTTGGTGTAGGAAACTCGCTTCAAATGTACTTACCATACAAATCAGGTTTCTGATCAGTGCGTCTTACTAGTCATGACTTACGGGGCCGAGACGTGGAACATGATAGTAAAACTGACCCATCGGCAACACGTCACTCGGAGAGCTATTACTTAAAAGGTCTATGTAAGGGATCTTGCTAATGTATAAGGTCCGGAACGAGAATCCACCAAAAGAACAAAGTAAAGAGCATAATCTGGAGTTGGCAGTTGAAGCTATGCCTATCCCATAAGTAAGGCGTGATGTGTGTGTGTGTAGATAGTAAAAAATAATCTTATATTCCTTTTGTTTGTGTAGTCAGGGTGATGTGACATAGGTTAGTCATCATCATCATTATCATCATCTGCCTGCCCTTATGACAAATTTGTGAGAGCACAGAATCATGTAACTTTTGAACTAAAATATGATAAAATTTGTATTAAACATTTCACACTCAGCCTCACCAACGTATCAAAAACAATCGTTCAAAAAAAGGTTTTCATTAAAAGCGCGAGCGAGCAGTCCACTAATGACCGCTATGAATGACGCTCGCGAACAAAAGCAGCCATTGCGGCGAATACGTTCCGCTGGGTGATACGCCACGCGGAAAACCTAGTAACTTACTTTTGTTTTTTTACCTCTGTCTGAAGTCTGACCCTCTGTAAAACCGACAAGCAGCCATTGCGGCGAATACGTTCCGCTGGGTGATGCGCCGCTGGGAAAACCGAGTAACTTACTTTTTGAATTCGGTAATAAGATTATTTTGTAGGTCTGGAATTAGTTTGCCGACTTGCTCATTTCGCAAACCGGCGCGATTCGCCAACTCGGTCTGCGCCAACAGGCGTGTTAGGACTACTTCAGCGTTTCGCTATCTGGGTGATTAGCAAACTGTCATAGTCTACAGAGAACATATTAAGTAGTAGTTTATGCAACTGTCTCATAAAAGGAGGCTTTAAAGCTCTGATCTTCGGTGAATCCGAGAAGTATAGTCGATATCTGCTTGTGCATGTAAAACTTGGCTGCCATCGTTTTTGGTTGCAGTCGAAACGACGCCGCCATGCTCGGTATATATTTTGACCTTTAATCACACCCGTGGCAGACAAGGGCTAAACTAGTTCGTCAAACCAATGTCATGCAGTCGACGAGAGAAAAGGATTCAGAACCAAAGTCGAGAAGATCACTTGCTGCATTCGCGGCCGTATAGCGCTCTCTTTCTCACTTGAGTTCACCACCAAATGGGAAAGGGGGCGGCATACGACCGCTATACGACCGCGAATGCAGTGAGTGCTCTTCTCAACTATAAACGGTTAGCTGACATTTAGCTTATAGTTGAGGGACAAGTTTGTGTTCAACCATTAGACATACAGGAGTATCTGACAAGGTCACTAATGTGTTACAGTACTGGTACACAAACCAAGAGAACCAAGTCAGGTGAGATCGGTCTCTTTCTGAATCATATAAGTTGGAATGCGGGGTGAGGCAGGGCGGGTTAAGCTCGCCTGTCCTGTTTAACTTATACGTAAATGGTCTTCTGGAGGAGCTCAGCAGCGCCAGGATCGGCTGCCATGTTGGCGGTGTCTGTGCCAACAACCTAAGCTATGCGGATGACATGGTGCTGCTGGCTCCTTCAGCAGACGGACTTCGTCAACTATTAAACATTTGTGAAAGGTATGCGTGTGCACACGGCCTTACATACAATGTAGCGAAAACGGAAGTAATGATATTTAAAGCAGGGCAAGGTCCCAGTTGTATACCTGTGATATCGTTGTGCGGTAGTCCTTTGGCTATAGTAAATACATTTAAATATTTAGGTCATATTATTACCGACTCATTAAAAGATGATGAAGACTTGAAAAGACAAAGACGTGCACTCGCGATGCGCGCTAACATGCTAGCTAGGCGGTTTGCACACTGCTCTAAACAGGCGAAAATCACGTTATTCACGGCCTACTGTCAGTCGTTCTATACCAGCCAACTATGGTACAACTACACGAAGGGTGTTTTAATACTTTTCGTGTGCAGTACAATAACGCCCTAAGGGCAATACTGGGACTACCTTGGCGGTGTAGTGCGACTGGCATGTTTGCTGAGAATGGAGTGGTTGATGTTTTTGTTCTATTGAATAGACTGAAATTATCTTTCCATAAAAGACTGTCAGATTCAAAAAATTGTATTGTTGAAGCATTGTATAAAACATGTTACTTAAATGACTTTAATATGATTCGTATGTTTGTCATGTAATAATATCTACTAGTATTGTAGTACTTTATTTATTAATGACGTTATGTACCTATTTTAATTTTATCTATGACATGTTGCTTTGTGACTATTTATATTGGACTTGTGCCTGAAATAAACGTATTTTAATTTAATTTAATTTAATTAAAGGCATTGATTTTCTGAAACAACAACGTACTAGAAGCTAGGTCAGATTAGACGAGATTATGTCATGCGGGCGCGAAAATACGACCTCAGATATGAATGAATTTAAAAATGCCACTTACAGTGTTTTCTTCGTATTCAAATACTTTGTTCATTTCGTAGCCAAGTTGTGGATTTAAATGATTGCTGGCCGAGCGCAGTCAGCATTGTTTTGTAACTATTGCTTCTTTTTGTTTCGGATTTAAAGCGATAAATAATTTTTCCGAGCAGTTAGGATTCCCTTCGCGAAAATAAAACTTTACTCCATTTGCATTTCAGCTGTTCATTTGAATTTGAAAAACTGGTTAATAGAGTTGGGATGAAGTCGGAGTTTTGGCGAAATAAAAGTTTAATGGGTATTTATTTTTCAAATCTGTCCTTGACAGTCATTTTATGAAATTAACATTTCCCTAGGTTTGCAGTTGATGTAAGTTTTTTGTTTTTACTAACATGTATAAACATAATGAAAAATCTAAAATAAATAATTTCGAACATTAAAAAAAGTAACTTTGAACCAAACATTTTGAAATTGTGCTGCTATTTAATCATAAAAGATTTGCAAAGTAATTGGCTAACAAAAATCATGCTCATTATTAGGCGGCAGCTGCGATCCACCTTGGTATAGGTCATTAAAATTTTTACCCTCTGTATTAAAATCCTTTACACACAGTGTTCCCGTTGTCCCCGGTGAAAATGTCTCTGTTACGGGGACAACGAGACGTCATTGATTTCACTTCACCGTTGTCCCCATTATAAGAATAGTGCCAAAAGGGAAGCAAGCATCAAGGAAGGTTTAGTAGGGGGGCAAGGCGTGGCATCGTAAGATCGTGGCACCCCAGCCTGCCCCACCATCATCGGGTTAACAGGAAGCATTTTTGATTATTTTAATAAAATCTCGTTTTTCATTACATTACATGCTTTCATTTTTTTTGTTCGACCAAGGTTTTTGCAAGCTCTAGTACTTCCCTTGGGAAGGTCAAGTTATGGTTATGATGTCTGGTGAAATAGCAGTTTAGCTCCAAAACGGGCCGTAGAATTTGGGAGCAGCTTTGTAATGGACCCCGTTTGGGACATTCTCACACCTAAATGATAATGAAAGTTCTCAAATTGTGAATTCTTAAAATTTTACAACAGCTAGATTTTAACGTGAAATCTCGGCGATTCACGCACTTGTGGCGCTGGAGTTCTCAAATATTTAAAGTCATAAATTCAATCAAAAATATAAACACTTCATTGCAATGCTTACCTATATTAGATGCAGTCAAGCGGTAAGCAAGCACCTCATCACACACAAGTCTCGGCTAGTTTATAAGTACTTAGGTACGCTATGTTTAGCCAATGATATCATAATGTTACTAGCGTAACTATGTAGCCGTCTCGAGGTCAGCTGTTACAATCTATGACCCCAACTAGAAAGTTTGCAAAAGTCATTCACATACCTACATACACAACCCGTTTATCTGAACATTACTCCTGGTTTCTTTTTAGCTACACTCTTGAATAATAACCTGGATAAAGGTGGACTATTTTTGTGATAAAACGGCAGCATTGTATAAAATCGGTTTCCATAAATTGGCTCCTTTGAAAGATATTTGCAATTTAACAGCGTTTTTAGCATAATCGACGTCCGGTAGTCCGGAACTGCTATCTGAAGATTAATACTCAAAGCCTTGAATACCAAATAGCATGAAACAT